GTCCACAAGGCCAAGTAACTTTCTTTCCTAGAAGATAGCTATTGGGGAGTCCTCAACCTACAGTCACAGCAAACCAGAACACTCATGCCCTTTGTGTAAATATGCCCAAGAATCAGGGGAATTTATCAAAACTGGAGCAGACAAAATCTCGAGCAGATGTGCATGGCAACCAATCAGCTTCTCAAATAAATCTCATTCCTTCACAACGCCCTATATACTATATCTATGGTAGTCCTAAGAGCCCTCTTGGGATAACTAAGAGTCTGCTCCAGACAGAATCAGATCCAGTGCTTAAGGAACACTGGATCTGATTCTGCCTTCTGACTCCTTGCCACGTGTATATCTGTTCACAAGCCTGGTATCCTGGAATGGAGTCATAGGAGGGGTGAGAATTGCATTTTGTGTAAAAACACCGTTTCAGCACTGTGGAGAGCTCCAGACTGCAAATTTGCTTGCCAGAACTTGTAGCTCCTGCTGCAAAAAGCTTTAAAATGTTCCAGCTTAAATTTTAATTAATCCATTATAAATATGGTGAATGTGCCTGAATCAGTGATTTAAATATTTTCCAGCGAATATTTACAGAAACACCCTCAAGTACTGTAAAGTATTTTTAGAACTTTTTTTCCATGTTTTTTTAAGCGTTCATTAAAGAGTTGTCTAATTTTCATTGTTCAGCTTTCTTTTTAGGTTTTTGCAATAACCAGTAACGAAGCATCTAAATGGTGTTGAAAAGCATGACATTGGAATGTTGGTTAGGGGGATTCAAAAAACTATTTTAGAAAAATAACCTATACCTTTTTGTATTCTCAGTGATCAGAAATGTATTGCAAAAATGGTCATTCAGCACAAGATGTACAAATAACGACATAAACCATTCTTCTGCAACTCTTATTTTGTGACAAAATGAAAGTATCCATGTGCATACCTTAATATCTTTTCTCTGTGTTCCAGATCTGTGCAACATCATCTCGGAAATTAACACTCGTGGTCCATCGCGCATTCCTAGTGCTTTCAGTGGCAGTGCCCTCAACTTACCCCAGTTTGTCCAGTTAATGGAGACGTTTGTGGGGGATGCCCCACTTGCAGCTGTGGAGAAACTCACTTCCTTTATTCAGAAGGAATATGTGGAAACAGAAGAGGAGAGAATTGCGCTGCTGGCTAAAGTAATAGTTGCATACTCACAATATCTAATGCAGTTATAACCCCATTGTGCTGGGATAGACTATTACATATTATTTGTATGATTCTAACTTGAACTTGAGGTTTGTTGACGAATAAGGATTTCTTCCAGCAGTAAAATGTTGTTATAAATATTTGATTTAATAAGGGAATAATTAGAGAAAAATTAAAAGAGATGAAAGCATTAACTTATGCGGTTTACCTTCCACTGACTGACTGTTACAAAACGAGAGCATCCAGTATAAAACTACAAAACATTTATTTTCTGCTGTTTACATTCATTCTACGAATACTACATTAAACGGCATAGTGAAGTATCATAGGGATGCTTTAAAACAAACAGCGGGCAAACAGAGACATTTTAAAGAAAACCGCAAAGTTATAAAGACTCTCAACAGACCATTAACACTTTTTGAGTGCCACAAGTGTACACTTGCACATATAGTAAATTTCCCCATTGTTTCTGCTATAGGATATACAATACTTACCTTACCCATGGGGTATTGATATTGATTATCTTTTTCCAGGTTTTTCTTACAGCAAAACTCTGGGCAAAAGTGTTCTTAACCTTTGCATTGGGGCTACCCCTGCACTGCAAGGGTTAAGTGCTCGTTTTAGGTGCTAAAAAAAAAAAGTTATACTCACCCGAACCATGGAGCCGCCTGGCTGCTACTCCGATCCCTAAGGCCTGTCTCCTCCTCCTACACTGTGGTTCCAGGGACCATTCTAAGAGCAAGCCCGCACCGAAGATGAGCACTTAACCCTTGCATTGCAATGGTAGCCCCAATGCAAGGGTTCAGAATACTTTTGCCCGGAGTTCTGCTTTAAAATATACCAGCCACACAAACACCATCTACCTGTTTCACCTAGCGGTGTGCAATGGTTTCAATTTATTTCAATAGTAATCCCACCAGCATCCATTGGCTGGTTGCATAGATTTTTATGACTGTGCTGTGTTAAAGATTGCAGGAATCCTGTTGTTTACTTATCCCTTAACGTTAAACTCCAGGCAAGCATCTTAATACACAGATGAAATACATATAAGGGAGCTGTTTTACCTTCCAAAGGATTTGCATTTCTGTCTATCCATTTCTGAGATGTATTTAGCTCTGTCACACAGCACAGCCCTGTCCGGCAGGGTGGGATACCTGGTATTGCTCTTCTGCGGTTAACAAACACTTATAGGTCTCTTCCACAGCCCCACAATGTGACTGGACAGTGAAAGGAAGAGCAGCACATTGAGTAGCTCATCTGTATGTCAGTCTGCTCTTTTCTTCAATCAGCATGCTCGTTGCACTGCAGTACAACAAACTGGCTCCTTGTGCTGCTTTACTAGTGAACTTGGCATTCAGTAATCACATACAGAGGCATTATATTGGTCAAATATTTTATTAGTCACCTGGGTTTAAATTGATAATTTTTATTTCTAAGCAGACAAAATGTTTTACGCAAGCAATGTAAAATCCCTAGAACTGTTGTTGACATGTGTGGAGATGTTGTTATTAAGAAAACTTTTTCCATCTCTCTCCCTTTTTGACAGGTTCGTCAAGATGCCCTTATAGCACGGCAGAAGCTTGTCCTGCAGGCTCTCTTTGAGAAATGGGACAACGATGGGTCTGGGTTCCTGGAGCCGGAGGAGGTCGAAGGAGTTCTGGCCAAATACAAGGAGGGGATGGAATCAGAGGTGATGGCTAAAGGTGAGATTTCTCCAGCCATACACTCTAATTTATTGCACCAAATTGAAGTAAACTTATCACAAGCTTGAGCAATTTAATTTGAGTATAGAATGAAAAAAAGCAAAGATTCATCTTAGTGGACATCATATGACTAGTGATTCAAAGATATAAACAGTCAAGTTACATGCAAGTCTTGGATTTTCCCTGTAAAAACAAAATGCTTGGCACTCTGCTCTTCTGGCTTCTAGTTGATCCTTATTGGTCAGTAAGCCTCCATCTGACCATAGAAAACCTGCAGATAATCTATCGGTGTATGGCCAGCTTAACTGAGAGGTAGGTCGGATAGGGTGGGGCCAAGGTCAACTTTTGCCTAATTTGCATACATTTCAGCTGCCTATTTCTCTGGAACCACTGATTGTTTTGACACGTTTTTCCACTACAAATAACTTCTTGTGTACTGCACCATCATAAACTGATGCTGAATTGCATAGATTTGTGACTTATATTTAAACTGTGAGAACATAAGTATGTGAACTGCTATTGTTTGAAATAGGAGAGCTTTCAAGTAACTGGATTCTTGGTGGTTTTGCATTTTCCAAAAACCTGTAATATAAAACATATTTTACAAATAAACATAGTGGATGCTTACTTTAAGTGTTCTAATAAACCTCTTCATAAGCTTTTTGTAATCATGTGGTAGAAGTCCAACAGTAAGCAGGCAGACAGTGCACGGAACTGTGCCAGAACAATCATTTGTCTTGACAGTGCTCTGTCTGCTATAAACTCTAAAATGCCTGAATGCCGATCCTACATGCTTATTGCAGGCCAATAACTTCATAGGTAGCACACAGCAAGGATCAGAAGAGCAAACCCAAGCCCTGCACCATTACTGTTCATGTATATTCAAAATCTGAAGTTTGACTGTCTAACAGGGATTGATTAGCACAATTTATTTGGATACAAATTGTAAAAGAATAT